AAAGTTCACTAATAGTAATCAAGCACCATCCAGTTCTGATCTCGCGGCAAAGGAAGCAGTTGTTGGAGACAGTTTGTCATACATTCTATTTCCTCTTCCTATTTCTGTCTCTCCTTCTCTTGCTTCCAAACCTTAGGGGGCAGTGAGTTTATATTAATAAGAAAAGAACAACTTGGAAAAAGAGAGTGAAGATAGTTACACAACTCAAAGAATGTAATTACTGTCACTAAATTGTACATATAGAAACTTATTGAATTGGCAAATGTGTTGTTGTTGTTGTGTATATTCAGAACGAAAAAAAATCAACAAATGTTTATTTGTTTAAAAAGACTGTAAAAACCTCTTACCTTTTTTAAACTGTACCCAGCATGAAATATAATTGGAGGCAGCAGAATATTAAAAAACACCTCTGGATCAAATGTTACCTAAAAGTTTAAAAACCAAAAAGTCAATATTTTCATACCAATTAGTGATATAATAAATCCTGGTGGCACTGTTGGTTACGTGTTGGACTGCTAATCACAAGTCAGCAGTTCAAACTCACCAGCAGTCCCTCTGGAGAAAAATAAAACTATCTGCTCCTGGAAAGATTTACAACCATAGAAACCCTGTATATAGGGTTGCAATGAGTCCCAAAACTCCATAGCAGTGGGTTTGATTTTTGTTTTTGTTTTTAGTGATGTAACAGGTTGCCATGGGAAGCAACTCAACTGCAACAATGCTATCATATATGCTTAATATTCTGAGTAATTTACTTAAGTTTAAGTCATTGTACATCATTTTGAGCATTTAGAGAAAATACCACAATGTGGAAAACCATAGACTCATCACAGGAGAGAAGCCATAAAATGACCCCCTTGTATGCTGCCAGTCTCTTCTCTTCACAACACTGCTTCACAATATGTTGCTTGAATACATATTGATGCAATTTTGAGAACGTTTATAAAGTTTGGGGCTAATGTTATAAAGAAGAAATTAAAATATCTTGATTTCCATCGAATTCTTATAAAAGCTCAATTGTGACATAAGATACAGTCATGATTTTTTATTTCCTGGATCCTATTACAGAATCAACTCGACTCTACTTACAGAAGACTGTTGGGTTGTCAACAGTCTTCCGTGACACTTAATGTAGCTTAGATCAAAGTCACCATTGACGCAAGTGGCTTCCCAAATTCAGCAACTCTAAGGGGGAATTAGCTTGATACAGGAAAACCCTCTGAAACTATCAAGTAACAAAATCTTATATCCAGAAAAGAGTTATATAAGCTATTCTATAAACCAGCTAACCTTTTCAACAATGTGCTCATGTGACTAGACTTACTGACTTTTTTCCAGTTAATTATTTTAAATCTTCATTTTACTATTAAAAGTAAAGTTTAATTTGAGGGGATTTTGGAAATGATGATATGCCTAATTAAAGTAGGATGATTTTTTCAGATTATATTTTATTAGATCTTGCTGAAGACAAAAGTAGTCTGAAACGTAGGGACTGTCCAAATGACAAGGGGCCTTGAACAATACCACCAGTTGCTCTCAATTCTGATGTATGGCAATCCCCTTTGCTGTAGAATATGGGTGTGCTGCACAGTATTTTCAATAACTGCTTTTTCTAAAGTAGATTATTTTTCATCGGGACTTTCTTCCAAGGAGTCTTTGGGTAGACTTGAACCTCTAACCTTTCAGTTGGCAGTCAAGTGCATTGACCATTTTGCAATGTGCCACCCAAAGACTCCTGGCTAATACCTACCCAATACGCGGACATTGGACTGAAAAAAGGTAGGACTTGTTGGAAGTCACCCAGTAATATACGAACTAGTATAAGGGTTTTCTGACACTTAAAAGCTCTTTGCATCCACCAATCTGCCTCAACATGCCTCCACAGAAGCATTCCTGCTGATTAGCTCTTGTCTGTAAGGTAATAGAATATAGGTCAACATAGAGATCTCCTGCTTATCTTAGGAATTACCCACATGGGAAAATCACAGAATTCATTTTCCTGTGGACTATCTTAGCTACCTCCAATGGCAAATGAAAAAGCTTGGTTGGGCTCAAATTTTAAAGCAACAAGATTTTCTTCCCCTGAAGATTCATTAAGCCTTTGGTATTAATCACCAATGAGAGTAGACATTCCATAAATATTTGTAGAAAAGAGCAAAAGAATAATGAAGAACTAAGAACTACACTTCTGAATCATAAATAAATAAGGTAAAAGTTAAATTTTATTTTAAGGAAGAAACAATCTCATCTTGAACCCACAGGGAGAGCAGACATAGAAGATATGGGGGTAGGAGAGAGAAGCTGCATTCGGATGTACCAACAAATGCATGGCACAGTCAGTTCCCACATCAGCTCCTGATCTGACCAAGCCCAAGGTGGTCACCAAGCTGAACAGCTCAGATTCTGTTCTGGGTCCTTCATGTCCTCATCATAGCCCCAAAGATTACCAACAAAATGGAGAGCTGGGAATGTTATAGATATTCCAGGAATGTGAAAAGATTTTTCTTCACAGAATCGAGAGTCGGGAAATAAAACCAATATCAGGACAAGGGGGGCTGAGTGTCCCCTGCTCACCTTCCTCAGCATGTCATTCTGCTCTACATTGTTGATCTTGCCAGGACTAATTTCTCCTTTCAGGGTATATTCGAAGAATTTCCCACTGACATTCACTAATAAGGTGCTGAAAGCCCTGTCTTCCTGCGTGCAGCTGAGGGACTTGTCATGGCCACTGGTGGCAGGGGTGCCATATCTCAGGATTACCCCAACGATGAGTCCTGAAAGAGAAGAAACATAAAACATCATGCCTGCGAAAGAACAGAGAGAATGTGAAAATAATGGTACAGCCAATGTTCAACAACTCCGAAATTCAGAAGTGGTATTCCACTGTCCTTCAAAAAAGCTATACATCCATCCCTCTATTTCTGGTTTAAGTCCTTTTAGTCATCAAGAGAAGATGGGACAGTACCTTTGGTAACCTTGGGAGTTATTGTGGCCCTTTCAGCACTTTTATAGACTGATAATATCTAATTTTGTGGGCTCGTGGTAGAGAAAGGTGGGATGATAACAAGCAAGGCTTTGTACTGCCAAGGAGAGCACAAAGCAGAACTGCTGAGCTCTTTGATTTTCACCAGCAGCATCCCTTCCCTCAAGCCAGTCCTATGGCTGTCTGCCAGCAAGGACCAGGCCACTGGAATTTCAGCTGCTATAAATGCAACTTGCTTTGTCCCACACCAGAGAAATAGAGCAACATAAAATGCTTTTGCTTAGCCTGAGGTCATTCTAAGCCCAGGGTATTATGGAAAAAGTAATTATATCCCTTAGGGAACTAAGCACCATAGTGCAAATTTTAGAAACCATGATTCAGGAATTGTACAGCTGGCTTCTTGGGACTTTGCCACACAGCTACACTAATCAACTCCAAGTCTTTGAGTCTTATTCACTTCTTAGTGGAAATTATATGGAAAGCCAACAGGAAAATCGTGTATAATAACTAACTACTCTTAAATTTAGATTCGGCATGTTGGTTTTTAGAAAATAGTATAGAAGTCTATTGCTTAGTAGAAAACACACTCATTGAAAATTAGGACCAAGGAAGCAGGCTTGGCTTCTGGTGACTGAACTTGTAGGAAGAAGAGTCTAATATGGTACCCAAGTATGGGCTGGTTACATGTACCTTATTTTGTATGGGGCATGTGTTGGTTCAACACCACCAAAGACTAGAGGGATTATTTCTTCCTAATCCAGGGCTGTAGTCCTAGGATTCTTATTATTACCATATAGCTAAAAGACACTCTCAAAACTCTGCTGCTAACAAAGACATTTTGAACTCTGGCCACCTGGCTCTTTTATATCCCAATTGGATTCCTATATTAGCAGGGAATAAATACCATTAATTTGACACCTGAAATACCAACAATACAGACATCCACTCATATCTTAAGCATACGTTATTCAAAATTCTTTAAAAAGAAAATTCACACACATTATAACAGAAGATAGAAGAAGCCCAGCATATTCTTGGATTTGGTCTGAGGTTCTTTCAAACATAGCATCAGTTTTCTGCTTTAAATCAAGTGTGTGAATATTTATTTGTTTTTGCCTCAAAATCTTGACATTTCCCAAAACCAAGGACAGTGTACCTGTGGATCACGCAGAGCATTTTTAGTGTTGTTAAGTGTATTTCCTCTTTAATTAGACACATTAATCAAACTCAAGTCAATGGCCTAAGATCTAGCCTAGAACGGTCACTACAGAAGATTATCACACATTTTCTTCACCTGTTTGCCACTCGTTAGAGCCTACGACAAGACTTTCAGATAAAGATCAGCTATTCTTTGAGATAAATCAACCACTTTTTTCTGTGACCTGCAACTCTCTTCCTCTTTTTTTCTCCCCGGTAATCATATCCATTTGGTTAGCTCTTAATCCTCCTGCAGTTCTCACTTCCTCCAGGAAGGAGGCCTTGTCAGATCCCTAAGACTGAATTGTCTGTTTCAGAGTCAGGGATACCCTCGCAGAATTTTTTTCAAAAATCATTTTATTAGGGGCTCATACAACTCTTATTACAATCCATACACACATCAATTGTGTAAAG